TCTCAATTACAGATCAAAAATAGGTATTCGAAAACTTATAAACGTAAATAAATCGTTAGATTAAAGGATATTTCTCCGAAACTGACCTTGTTTTGCACGTACTTGTAATTTTCACGTAAAAATAATAATACTGTCCACAAACTATAATCAATTAGGTGTTTCAAACAACCTAAATATTCTATTGTTGTTTATTACTACAATAACAGAATATGATTGAATATTATGAATATTTTAGGTATTGAATAACGAATGTTTATTATAATGATGTTATTACACGTAAATTGGTTAAATAGAATTTGTTTGTAGGTCGAATTATTTCAATTCACTGGAATGCATTTTACGACTCAACAAATTCAGACATTGCACAGGCTATAATTTTAAGATGAAAAATGACAATAGAGTATTTTTATAGATACAAAAGTACAAATAGATACTTATATGCAAACGACTATATAAGTAAAGAGATTAGGTAGGTTTTTTCATCTAAGGAAGACACCAGCTCACAATGTTTGACCCTATGTACGCTTAAATTATATGCAAAAACACTAGGCATCTAAAAAATAAACACACTTGCTTTCCATTTTATCTTTCAATCAAATGACTACCTAAAAGATTGGAGCGTAAGAAGCCTCAATTGTCGCTTATCTATACGAATGTATATTTCGCAAAAAGTGAAGCGATTAATATGAAGCCCTTTGGACCGAAATAACACGCGTCTGTCTGCAACATGAGACGTAAATGGTACGAAAATGATAGATGTACAGCCTTCAGCGTTCAAGACTGCTGTCGACCTCTCTATAAATCTTACTTCACCGTTATACAACGCCCCACGGTGTTACCCGCTTTTTATCAAGTATTAAATTTAAAAGTATAATGGGTACTCCAATTCAGTAAGTTGAGAAGAATTTATTTAGCCACTATAAATAAAGAGCTACTTATAAAATGAGTACATTTGGCCTTGGACCTTTTAGACCTAAGAATAATAACAATATTCTGTGGTGCGTTCTCGATTTTCTGTTTGATTGGATGTTAGGGGATTTCTGCATAAAAATTATATCAGCGTCGTGATTTAGTTTATTTAGAAAACCTACCTACGCCATGTATATAGCCAAATAACATTTCTTTAAAATGTTGTGATAATTATGTCTCATCGAAAATTAAGTGATTACGTCATCTTTCGATCTTGTAGCCTGTAAGTTCGTTTGCAATATCAACAAAATAAAGATCACCTTTAGGAAAAATTTTCATTCGCTCACAAACAATACAAAGTTGATTCAATTTTCTATTCTCTAGCGTACCTTGACCTGATCTTAATTCTGTAGTGCTCTCACGTAACCCAGCAGATACGTTGAACCACAAACCATTTATACCTGTCTTAAAAATATAGATTTAAAGTTTTGGACTCCATTTTGCGTTCAGCTAAAAAAAAATTACAATTTGATTGAACAGCGGTTCGACATTTCGGATGCTTTGCATTTAAAGTTAATTCACGTTTCTATATTTCACGTTTTAAATCGACAAAATTATTTTATTTATTAATCATGAAATTAATATCTAAGTGCAAAGTTGGAAAGTTCTAGAATTTTTTCAAACCTACCTCCGCCTTCGCTGCTACCACTAGACCAATGATCCCATTAAACCACAGATTCATTGACCTCCAATCCCCATTTCCAACTTGACTTGTAAATGTAGATTTTACGTCGCTATAAAGCTAGAAGTACCCGAGATACCTAGCATATATTATTCAGATGGCCGGAGAGCTTTTAAGGGCTCCGTGTAAACCTTTTACGGCCGAAATCAAATCTTGAACTTTTTCGTTTTACGGAGTGAATGACTTCACGGGATTTGCAGAATTTGTAGCAAAGTTTTAAATGGTTCTTCGGTGACATAATTTCCCTTTGTCAGCTACAGACAATGGGAGTGTTCAGCTGAACGCACTGAATTAAAAAGTTTATATTTTAAAGACACAACTACACAGACACAGTTTGTTAACATATGTTCATCATAATATGAATGTGTTTGTATATAGTATGGTATATACGTAGGTTCATCTTATGCCCCTAATTCTAAAAGCGTTACTCTTCCCCTTCTTTCTAATAATAAAGAAGCGTAAAGAGATCTTAAGTAATATAATGAAGTTAGGGCCTAATATTAACTTAATTAAGCTTATAATAAGCTAAATCTTGGGTGCTCTTGTAACTTTTTCTAATTTATTTTCTAACGAACTTTTTAGTGACGTTAATATAATAGAGTTTTGGAAGCTTTTTAAACTAATAAATTATATCCTGTTTTATACAAACGTTTTTATATCCTCACAACTTTTATGTACCGTGATTGTGTTATTATTGAATAATATTTTCTATAGCCTTTTGACAGAATTGATTATAGAATAATAAAAAAGGTTGTCCAGCTTTGAAGTCTTTGTCAAACAGAATAAACATTTACCACGTTTGGTTTTAGCATGATTTATTATATGGAGTATAATATAGTATTTAAATAAAACACTTTAATTGGTTGTAACTACGGCCCGACGTTTTGGATGCTTTGCAGTAGCGTTTTTATTTTAATGTATACATTTAAATGTGTACTACTCGCGTAATCTGCAGTCACTATTTTACTATAGTATTATTTATTATGTTGATAAAACAAAACCAAGCTTTAACATAAAAGTTGATGTTGTGTCAGCCTTTAGTAGTTTTCCCTAATGGGGCTCGGATGACCTGAGGAACTCCCCCCTGAGTTACCACAATGGCTAAATTCTGGTTGATGGATGACGATGATTTTCGATTGCTTTTGTTCTACAACATGATGATTTCCTCAACATGTTTAAGTTAAGTTAAATACTGATGTATATCTCTGAGGATGGAAATACGACAACGAAATGTACTGATACTATTAGTACTGAGACTCATACTATCAATATATTGCTGTAGTGAAATTCTTCTTCCTCTCACATACTTTATCCATTTTCATATGTTTAATATGTAAATGTAATGGAATCAATCCATCAATCTACTTTGGGCAACGTTACTATGTTGACAGCATCCTTGAATGATTGATAGGTACATCACCTTTACGAAACTATCAACTAAATTGCATATCTAATATGCCCTAAAATATTTAACGAAATTATATTTGGTGATATACTTAAGAGAGTCTTTTAGTGTTATACTTTATGCTATTTTCAAAAATAACTAAAACACTAAAATCTATTTAAAACTTCCTAAGATTGAAATAACAAGAATTTTTAAACAAATTAATGACGAAAGAACCTAAAAATTATAAAAAATATTATTATAAGATAAATAAATATTCATATGAACAATTATATATACAAGTAAACCACGAGCGCGTTATTCTACGAAATCGTCGTAGAGGCTCTACACAATAGAGGAAAGCTACGTAAGACATCTACAAGAGAAAAACCGCTTTTTCACAAGCAATAGTATTTTTAAAACTCTCATATTCTACTGATTTCTTGTTTAAATCCCAAAAAGATTTTATAGTTATATTGTTTGACAAGTTATTATATTTAGTCAACAACTTTTTATTAATAAAGAAGATACATAAAATCTTATAAATGGCTATAGAATATAAAAACAATAATCATTATTGATGTTATTGATTTATATTAATATTATGTAGATTTATGTACAAAATTAGATTATAGTTGAAAATATATTAAAATACAAATAATTTCAATACAATGTATAGATATCTTAAATTATGAAACCTTAAATTATCAATAATATCAATCATATATTTACGTCGCTCGTTGATTATTATGAGAATGTACCTTTTCATGTACTTATATTTTACATTACACTGGAACTAAAGTAACAGTAATCTATTGAAAAAAATCTGTATATTGTACGTCGTTTACACAATATCAAAGCAATCAATATCAATTTAACGAACCAAATTATCCACGACAATAACCACAAACAATAGAGCAATCAATGGACAAAGGCAAATAAAGGACATAAGCTAACGACACAATCGCAGCTCACGCTCGACTCGAGTCTAATAGACCTGTGGAGGCATGGGGGTTGAAACCTCGCAAACCCCATAAAACGGAACGCAAAATGTATTTATTTGACTCAAATCGTTATTGTCTCTGGTATGGGTCTCTACCTACTAAATTCCTGGCTACTTTCATATACACTTTACCGTACCACAGAGTATCCTAGGAATGGGATACACTCACAACACCTCATCGATTGATAAACAAACGCGGGGCGCGGTAAACGCCTGTTGCGCGGAAATGCCCAAATCTCATAATGATCACCTCAAAATGACGGGTTCGTCAATCGCACGATTGACACTCGTTATAGTATCATTAAATTGCTAACGCATCGTAACCTAATAATTTCGTAGTGGAAGAATGACATTGATTATGTCTAGGCGAAATTTTGTGTTACCAAATGACCTCTGTCTATTTTAACACATAATGGAAGGTAGTATAAAAAAGTCGTTCGAGTTTTGAAATAGATGGTTAAATAGTGTTGTAAAAAGTTGTCCTGGTCATTTTGAGTCATTATAGGGCATAACTCACCGGGCAAAAGGGCGAGAAGCGCCAAGGCCGCCAGAATGGGGGCCATGGCGAGCGCGCGGGCATAACACACCCGCGCCCGCTGCGCTAGCACGGCGGCGCGCTCATGCGGCCAACTGACGAACACGGCCGGCCCTCGCGGCACTCAGCGCGGGACTAACCCCGCTGAGGCCCGGGACCTCAGGCTGACGGTGTTGCTATACACAAATTTTACCTAGCCGAAACCGATCAAAGCCTTCTTCAAGACAGGACTTACCAAATTAAGTTAACTGGGACCTCTTAAAATTATTTATAAAGTTTAGTCGTAAGATAAGACTACTTATAATAACAGAACAGCTGCTTTGTATTCTTGCTACTTTCAGCAAATATAATAAAGCAAACATAATTAATTAGTTAAACTACACTTTGCTATAAGCATTTGTGTTTTTGTATACGTCATACTAAGATATCAAAATAAAATCTTACAGATTCTATCGAGAACATGTCTTCTTATAATAGTCACTTTCATTTGTCGGCAAGACAAAAGAAGCATAAATATTGGTAAATTTGGAAACAGGCGAGCAACCCCGTCACCACCCCTCGGCCAGGCGCGCGCCCCACCGCGCCCTTCTGCGCAGCCTTCAGGTGCGCGAAACCTGAGCCCTGCCCCTTGAAAAATCCTGAGATCTCTATAATCAAAACTCGTTAAAATGTGGCCGAAAGGTGCAAGTAGGGCAGCCTTGGCAAGGTCGCCCGGGCGAGGGCCCATCGTCTGAGACCGATGCAATATTAATCAGTGCCCATCTCATTTGGCCGCGGCTATCTCCGTCAACGGCTTGAATTTAATTAGTGTAATGCCTCGTCTTAAGAATGTGCCTGACTCGCCGACTATTTTCGACATTAAATTACAAAAGTTCGCTCTTCCTAAGTAGACAGCGGGTTGCTTTATTTGATTTCGAATTTCGCGAATCGAAGTACACGATTTCGTCGCCTATGATGAAATTTGCTTGTAACATTCATAAATACATTGTTTATTTTTAAAGACTCGACAAGTATCTATTTTTATTCCAACTTCTTAATTATTACATATAGAATTTTTTTAAATGTATGTAAGTGTTTTATCATAATTGTATTATTTATATATTTTTTTTATTATATATATATATTATAAAACACTTTTACGGTAAAGGAAACAAATTATTAAACTTATTAGAAAATTATTTTAACTACGGGCCGACGTTTTGGATGCTTTGCAGCAGCCATGGTCACGGGGAGACTAAACTTTTATTACGACATTAGCGACACCCTCCATCTTTACTTTATTTCGCGGTTTAAACCAAAAAATTGTTTTATTTAAATCTTTACTACTCGCGTAAACTACAGACAGTATTTAAGTAATTTTGTTTCTTGTCAATTTGATTCTTAATTTACTATATCACTTTTTTTAACTTCTAAAGATGTTCATATTATCTATTTATTCACACTTCCTTCTTGATCTTTCTTGTCAATTTCAAACCTTATATCTTAGCAAATAAAAATGTAACCAATCGCTGTCTGTACATAGATGTTTTATGACAAATAATATAATAGGAGATCTCTATCAACGCAATAGTTAAGTAGGTATAGCACAAGTTCAGATTAAATGTTCAAACGTTTTAATCAAATACATAAATTAAATAAATATGAATATTTTTTTAATTAAGGTTTAAAGTCGGCTTTACTCGGATCATTTTTGAAAGCGTGAGTATCGTTTCACAAAATTCTCAAACTAATTGGTTAGTGAAAATGTAATCATAGGACATTAGCCGCGACAAAGTGACGGCTCAGCAATTACAAGACATTATTATCACACTTGACAAATTAGAATAATAAAGCCAATTTGTCTTCGCAATACTGTACTCGTAAGTTATTACAAAATGTCCAATAAATTACGAGATTTTGGGATGTAATGAACTATCCCAAAATCAATTCATTCAGCGATGTAACACAGAGTGTCAGAAATCAAAATCGATAGAAAATCTAAAAAGTAATAAACAGTACTTTATTCTTACAAATCTGGGTACATCTAAGGAATTTCCCTAAATAAAACGATTATCATTAATGTTACTAATATCCCTTACATTTTTCATTTAATTTTGTAGATAATCTTACTTATATACAAAAAACCAGATATATATAACAACGTTTAACATATATGCAATAATTTATTGACAAAAATATGAAGAATAAATTTTTTCAGTGAAGTTATTAAAAATGCGCAGACATTTTAGTAAAGCTAAAGTAAAATAGCAGAATCAAAGCGAAAGAGTATTCACAGATTAACAAAAGAAATTCGCGCTCTTTTTGAAGTGTTTACCAATGAAATAGTTCTGTTACGATGCACCACAGAGTATAACACAATGACGCATTTGGCGGGCTTTTACTCGGAAGTCCCATTCAAGTTTCACATGCCAGTAAGGTTTATTTTAACTCAAAACAAAATATATTCTAGAGACAATGAGATAGAAGATGTTCATGCGTTTTAAAATTGATTTTAACGGTTTGAATTTAATTGTAAGTAAAATGTAGTTTGTAGAAGTAATAGTGATTTCCCTGAACACCAACCTATGTGTTTAGGGACCATTCATTTATTATGTTATTACCTTTTATTCTTTAACTTGCTGTATCAGCGACTTCATCCACGTGGCATAGTTATTTTACAACTCTATAAATTTAAGCTGTTATTCACGATGTCGTCCGTGTCCCGTCGTTCTTGCAAGTTAATCTTAAAGAATAGATACACTGTCGCGGATTTATTTAGAGGAATCATTGATACAATTTTTTTGGGTATCTCAAACCGTTTTAAATAAACAGTCTATCGAACATTAAAACAATTTTTCAATTTGAATCAGTAGTTCCTGAGATTAGCGTCTTCAAACAAACTCTTCAGCTTTATATATTGGCAGAGTCTCAGTTCTGTATACACACGGCACTTAAAAGAATGAATTCTAAATTACATTGAACGACGAATACATTACACAAATTTGGCATCACACCGATTCACGCTGCGTTAATTTTGAAAGATCGCATCGATAGTTGCAAACGCAGTGGTAAAAAACGAAATATCTCCGGCGTGACCAATAAAATATGTTATAGTTTTGTTTACAGTGACACGCGATATATAAGGCTGCACTCGTGTTTCAATTTCCGGCTTCAACGACAACTAAACGAAATCTATGACAAACCGTCAGGTTGACAGATTAATAATTCATTTGATACCTTATTGCTATCATCATGTTACTTAAGTCGAACGTTCAACAAATAATTATTGTCTAAAAACTTTCATAGTTTGGTATGTCATTGCACATGAGGTCATTATACAAATCATAAACCTATTTGGCGAACTCGTTAGCTATTTAAAACTAATATTTAACGGGGTGTGGGTTCGATCTTTTAACACAGATGAGATTACAAATAAATGACTTGCCTAAAACCATTGCCAAGTTTCATAATGTTATTCAATGTAGGTTATATATTTTTTCATAGTTTTCATTTATTTATGTTCAGTTGCATATGTCCCGCAATAGGCGTGGCGGATGCCACTTTACAAGATATCGTGTTCGGCCAATCCCTAGACAAGAGCAAATACAACGTCATTAACATGTGTGCTCTAATGCCCGATCTCGATATGCTCCCAGGACCAGACGGAGATTTTTCAAAAAGGGGCTTAAAGTTTTTTCGATGCCTCTTTTACAGTGGTTTAAGGATTATAATTAATAAAACTAAATAGCATTATAGTCATATGTATAGTGTAACGTTTGCTTAAGATTAAAACCCTGAACCTCTCAAACAAATAATATATAAATTTAATCGTAATATTTTTTAATCGCTTATAAAGTGTGTATTTCAGTAATCCTATATATTCAAGGGCATTTTTTGTCATAACATAACGCTATATAATTTAGAGTTTGACTTCGCTTGTCATTTATTTTTTGGTTGCAACCAGTGTGAGTGAACATGTACAGTTTAAATGAGAAAGTAGTTATTGTAACGGGCGGTGCCTGCGGCATTGGTGCGGCCATAGTTCGAGATTTCCTAATCGAAGGAGCTTATGTAAGAGTAGAACATCAATTTTAAACAATAATGAGAGAATATAATCAAAGATTGGACTAAAATCAGGTTTTTTACATCAACTAAGCTTCGGCTTAGGTTCGGTTCAGTTTTTGTTTTTTTACATCACCACACTAAAGTCCGGTTTTACATTAGAAAGAAAGATTTATTTAAATAAAACACGTTAATGGTTTAAAACGCGAAAATATTAGTTAATTTCTTTTGATAATTGTTTTCTCTACGGCCCGACGTTTCGGATGTTTTGCAGTAGCCGTGGTCACGGGGAGACTTTTCAATACGCTAATAATACTAATTTTCTAATAAGTTTAACTAATATATTTCACGTTTTAAACCGTTGATGTGTTTTATTTAAATGTGTACTAATTAAATTAAATAAGCAGGTTTAAAGATTTCACATAAAATCAAACCGTTATCCGTCACAAGGCCACCTATGTGTAACTAATTTTTTTATTTTATTTTAATTACAACGTGCCGAACAGAAATATCTTTTAATAAAGGTCTAAAATATCTCTCCATCAACTTTTCAGTAGGAAACTTTACAAATTGGATGGAAATTATTCGATGACTTCTTTAATTTACGACTTTTGATGTAATACCGCATAACTTTCGCGTGCTTTTAGACTGCAAACTTTTACTTTTTTATTTTAAAACGCCGAACTGGCCGAACATTAATATTTTATGCTTTGTGAACGTATGTGGTTTAAAAGTGAATGTATAAGTGTCTAGCAAATATGAAAATACACTTAAAATGTTTCGAATCAAATCAATTATTCCACATTCAATTAAACATAAAAATACAAAGCTTATTAATAAATTAGATGTTTTTGTACTGAAACAACATACACCTAATTTATCTATTATTTATACCGCCCCATTTAGCTAGCGAAATATGGAAACAACTTCATATATTTATGTGTGTTCATATGTTAATGGCGTTATTCAGACTATTCTTCTTATCTATTATCTAGGAAGCTTTTAAAACCGTATTATAATAAAAGAAAAAGAGGTACTATATTCCTTAAGATTATACGGGTCAAAGTAATGCACGCCTTTTTCGTAAATTGTTGTAAATTCGTTGTGAACGATTTCTTATTCTTCCACTGACAGGTAACATTTCTGGATATAAACGAAAAAGCGGGACATAAACTAATGGAAGAGTTAACAAGTCACAAGGATCGCTTGCAATTCGTAAAATGTGACGTCAGCGAAGAAGAAGATCTCCTTAATGTCTTTCAGAATGTTCAAGATAGTTTCGGCAAGTTGGACGTCGTCATCAACAATGCTGGCATCGCAGACGAATCCTTTTCTATGTATAAAAAACAAATTGCACTTAATTTTGTAAGTTTGTCTTATTATCTTTCGCTTAAGCGTTGATCAAAGTCCAAGTGACATTGTTGTTGGTATATAAGAATAAAGCACTCTAACGGTTTAAACGCAAAATGTATTAGTTAACTTATTTTAACTAAGCCCGGATGCTTTGCAGCAGCCACGATCACGGTTTAAAAGTCTTGAATTTAAAAAATGTCCTACTCGCGTAAACTGCGGACACTTCTTGTAGGTTGTACCAAGATTTGTTTTTATTAAATTTTTAAAAATTAAAGGGATATATACTACAGTGTATATCATTGTCTTCCAGACGACTGTGATCACGTCTACGTTGAAAGCATTGGAAATTATGCGCACAGACCGTGGCGGCAAAGGTGGAACCATAATCAATGTATCGTCAGTCATTGGTCTCATGCAGGTCTCACCGGGACCCTTCGTCTATGGGGCTATTAAGAGCGCTCTCGTACATTTTGGTAGTACTATTGGTGTAAGTTGATAAACGTTGAACTTCGAAATGAAGAGGAGTATGATGTTAAATTCGATAATAAATTGTGTAAGGCTTTCACGGCCATCGTTCAGCATATCATTGTCTTTCGGGCTGTTCTCGACATTTCGCCATCACGTGTGGACGGCATCATCAGGAGATGTTGACTCCTCGATTGCTTGAAGAATTATTCGAGAACCTCTTCTCGCTCACCTCGGCCGAACAGCCCGAAAGACAATGATATGCCAAATTCGATAATATTTATTTATTATTCAAAATTAGGCTTAGCCGAGAAAATGCGCGCCATTGTTCGTATTTGACAGTTGCCGAGCTAGTGCGGGGCGCGCACGTTAATCGCGTAGGACTAGTGTTGTGTCGTTCTCGCTATGTCGTAGGATTAATCATATCAGTATTTATTTTTTTTTTGAACAAAAAACCCTGTGTAATGGATGGCTCACAATGTACCAGTCATGCTGGATGTTATGTTGGGTGATAGGTAATAAACTACCACACAACAAATGAAAAAGCCGTCAAATTTAATCGCGTTTTGGTTCCAGTCTGTGGAATTCCGAATATCCAAAGCTAAAATAGGTCGACAGCGCAACTTGTGGAGATCTTATAAGCGGGGGTATTTAACCTTCCAATAAGATCCACGCTTGCCTGTCCTTCTCTGTCGTAAAAAAACTAACCTACATAACATTTAACTTGTAATTATCGATTTAGCTTCAACCCCAGTGCACATACTCTTTAAACTCCTCAAGGATTAAATGTTTGAAAAGCGTTTCCATTACAATCGCAAACGATTACTAAACAAGAACAATTAATTTATTTTGCTTTTATTCTCTTTTAATTATTTTCAGATGGAATCGTATTATTCACAGACCAAGGTTCGAATTCTCACTGTATGTTTCGGACTTACATATACGAATATAATACAAAATACAAAAAGTTTTGATCAAAAAATTAACGATGACGCAGAAAAAATAATGCAACAAGTTATGGAACAAAGTCCGGGACAAAGGTAGGGAGGTTTTTTAATTTCCAAATCACTTTGTGTCACGTTGTACTGTATGAATTATTTCTAAAATATAAAAGATCCTAGAAAAGACCTATTATAAAATATGTTATAGAGGTCCGTCTTATCTTCGCACGAATGGACCTTTTCTTTATTAAATTTATAAATTCACAGTGCAGAGATTGCTGCTAAAGGTGTAGTCGAGAGTTTCAAAAACGCGAAGAGTGGGAGCACCTGGCTTGTCAACAATGGCGTGATTTCGAATATCTCTCAAGATATAACAAAAGGTTATCAAATCATGAGCAAACAGGTTTTCGTACAAAACTAAAATTAAGTGCTAATAATAAACTGATTGTACGGAATAGTTATTAGTAGAAATAAAGTAAACAGAGTGCACTTCAATTCAAAGGGTGTACCCTTTGAACTGATATGATTGTAATCATAAAGATTCCTGCATGTTAATTAATTTTAAATTTAATGTTTTCGTAGTCTGTTGGAAGAAATGAAGACTATTTTTAAGGCCATAATCTACATTACAATGTTCATGCTACAATCTGTCAATGTCAATGGCGCAAAGTACAAAATTTTACTTTTTATAAATGTCAAATATCAAAGTCTCGATATTTCACTGTTTTGGTTTGTTTTCAAATTTAGTCTTCGCTCGGGTTCAGAATTTCAAGAACTTGATACCTGAATCGAACCAACGATAAAATGAATCAGACGATAAACATAGATCAGCTGAATTCGGCTTTAACGTCGCTCAGAACGCTACGCTCCAGTGTCAGTCATGTCTTTGAAACACTATCAAATGGTTTACGAGCTGACCACGGTGAAGATGGAAAGGATAAGTTCCTCTCAGAGCTACAGGAACTGCTCAACAACGTTAATATAAACGTAAGAGATTTAGAACAGACCGTAAACGGTCTACCAATACCCACCGCGCCTTTTAACCTCGGCAATACTACATTTCTTAGCCAAGACACAACACAAGACCGACAGGCTTTGTACACGCAGTTAGTCAACAGTTACAAATGGACAGATAAAATTCACGAATATAGCTCCTTTGCGCATACTTTACTCAGCCAGAACTCCTTGAAAAGATCAAATATTAACTCTGGTAACACGAAACGACGCGGAAAATTGCAAAGCAACCATAACGTCGCGCCACTACAAGTAGACAACGTAATAAATAACATAGATAGATCCTACAACGATATGAAGATCACTATATCGCGACCTTTCGCAAGTAACGCAGTCGTTCAGATTAACTTAAGCCATGTTTTAAAAGCTGTTGTTGCTTTCAAAGGCCTATTAATGGAATGGGTGATGGTTAAAGGCTATGGTGAAACACTTGATCTTTGGACAGAATCACGCCACAGTGTATTCCGGAAAGTCACAGAAAATGCTCATGCAGCAATGCTGCACTTCTATTCCCCTATGCTACCTGAGCTGGCAGTCAGATCTTTCATGACATGGCTACATAGCTATGTAAATCTTTTTAGTGATCCCTGCAAACGATGTGGATGCCACTTGCATCATACATCAATTCTGCCCCCAGCTTGGCGTGACTTTCGCACCCTTGAACCATTTCATGATGAGTGTAAGCAATAGTCCATGTGGTATTGAATGAGAAGGATTAATACATTATGTTGATGGCTTTCTCATTCAATACAATACAGTGAAATGAACTAATTTAAAGTTGTAAATATTTAGTTAGAAATATGGATGTATGGTAGAAGAAAAATTGTTTGATAAGTCTTTTACCAACATAAGTGGCCGAATACAGTTAAAATGCTGAGGGTTTTTGTTACTGTAACAAAATAGATACTTTATTCAATAGTGTTTTATGTATAAGTTAATGTAGTAATTAACATACAAATAAAATCTTCATTATAGCATGTGATACTTGATTTTAAAGCAAAAAGATTATAGTCCCCATTATATAATGTAGGATTAAGATTATCAGGAATTTCAATGTAAAAAAATTACAAGCTACTCCTTTTATCTCTGTGGACAGTTCTAATATTGATCAAAGAAACGCAATCAGAAATTCTAATGCCACAGTGACTATATTTTTATTGAAATTAGAAACAAATAAAACAAAATTATATAAAAAAATTAACTTATAATTTTTGCTATTTTTAAAGAATCACTACTAGTTTTACACAAATGGTTTACAAATAGCAACTGTATGATCCACACTGCATTTTGCATTTAATACATAAGCCCCAATCCCCACTTTCAAAGGAAAATGCTGATCCTTATTGTTTCCTAATCCTAAACAGCCATGTCGATTTCTGCCCCATGTATATAAATCTCCATTATTAGTTATTGCTGCTAAATGTCCAATTCCACATGAGACTTTTTCTACCATTGACTCTGGGTTAAATTCATTTCTGCCAAAAAGAGCTGGTGGTATCTGCTTCAGGTTTGCTGTGTGATGGACAGTTGGACCGAGACCAAGCAACCCAAAGCCCCAAACGAAGACATCACCTTGTTCTGTAAATTACAATCATGATATTTAGTACAGTGACAGCTGCATTACATAGACACTGGCATCTTATACTTAAACCTGACTAGCCCCACAGTATAACAAATTATAGTCAAAAGTGTTATAATTTTTATCTTCAGTGTTATTTAAGAATTGCAATTATCTTGCAACTAAATTAAAAATAAATGTAATATAATTGTACCCTGAAATAATACGTATTTAAGTATGTATGACAGATATACAGCAATAACAGTATAGCTATTGGGTGTAAGTTTAAGTCCTGTCTGTATCATTGTATTTTTTTTTAATCTTACCATTGCATATAAGACAAAAGGAACCGCCAGCAGCAATATCGACGATCTTTCCTATTCCTTTTGTAAAATTGATAAGTGCATATGACATGTTCACTTGCTGTTGTTTTGAGGTCACTGGTATTTGACCATATTCAGAGTTACCCCAACCGAAGAGCTCACCTTTATCTGAAATGAATGAATTTAAAATTTTGGAGCTTAATAATATGACTAAAACTCAAAACAGAGATCCACGACATAATGCCACAAATACGTTTTTGTTATTTGAGGTATTAGGTTGTTTCTCTTACTATAAGAAGAACTACCAAAATACAATTTTGAAAAACAACAAAGGATAAATATAATATAGGTATAAATATAACAGAGCTTGTAAAATTTTATTTAAATAAAAATTACCATTCATGAATTATTCTTAACTACTGGGACATTAATAGCCTACAGTAAATATTTATATAATTTACCACTTAAAGCTAGAACACAATCAACTGTGGAAGCAACTTTTACAATTTTTTCACTAGTGATATCTCCTTTGACTAGACCCGGTGGTCCTTGGTTGTCAAAATTACCCAAACCAGTCTGACCATCTGCACCCCAACCGCAAGAGTACACCTTTCCAGATTCCGTTATGAATAGGCTGCAAATTTAAAAAATCTATGTATTAAACAAAACACTTTTAAACAAGTCATATGAACAAAAAGTCTTTATATTCAGCCAGAGTTTTCTTTGTATATTCCGTATAATAAATTTAAAAAAATCAAATGACATAAATGTTTAGATCAATGTAGAAACCCTCAAATGTTACACCAAAAAAAATTATAAGCATTTTTCATTTTTGAGCCATATCTTTGATGCTGAAGATGTATTTTAAAACCAAAAATAGAATACAGTGCAACCTTAATATAACGAACCTCAATATAACGACTTCCTCGATTTAACAAATTCTTCGTAATCCCCTTGAATTGTCCATAAGAGTCAATATAAAATATACCTTTACATTGCAAACATTCTTTGCGTACAACCTCTTAATAACGAATTTTCAACTATCAAGAAAAAGTATTCACACCTCTAATTAACAAATTTTGCCAACTCAAAACCTTTATAAAGTAAAGTAATCATTGTTGTTTTGATGGAAAGTAATGTAAACACCTGTGCTCGTTACTATTGTTAAAGATTTAAGTTAAAATGGCTCAAAAACGTAAAAGGTGTTCCTTATCGGTTGCAGAAAAGCGAAACATTATTAATTATGTTGACCAAAATCCCATGAAAATTAGATATAGCTAATAAGTTCGGGGTTCCCGCAAGTACATTGGCTACAATTTTAAAATTTATAGATAAGTTTTCAGAAGAAAGTGATTTGAATGTAAACAGTAAAAGATTCAAATCATGCGAGTTCAGAGACTAATAAGAGTAATATTGAGTTGAATAAAACTATTCTTTTACCTCTTTATAACAAATTTTAGGCCAATCTAACCTCAACATAACAAACCTCAGTTTAACGAATTAATTGATATAACAAATATTTTTCTTGTTCTCCTTCGATTTGTTATATCGAGGTTGCACTGTAGTATTAAGTATACCTGTGATCCTGGCCAGCGCACACATCAATTATTTTCTCTGCTGCCAATTTTTTGATGTTATGTGAATGCATACTCCCTCTGTATTCTTCTGTTTTATTTATTTTTCTTCCACACTGTCCGTAAGCATTGTTTCCAAGAGTAAATACACCTTCATTGTCAGTCAGAACTAAGGTATGTGCTCGACCAGCTGCTAGACCTGTAATCTACAGTTTATTAAAGCTTGTATTGAAAAGTATTAAATGATTTGTAACTTAAGATAAGGGAATGTGACCTAAGCAAGTTTGCAAAAGTGACTGGTGCCTGTAATATGTAACTAATATCTCATCTTTGAATAAAGATTACTTAGACTATTTATTAATAATGTCTCATAATGTACTTCCTAATCTTATGAAACATTAGTAAACTTGAAGCTAGATTTTTAATGCCCACAAACCGGTATAAACAGCAAAACTTTTTCTTATTTTTTATATTCTACTTTGTTTACTGTTTACTTGACACTACCCTGCAAAGCTTCTTGGGTTTAAGGCCTGTTCAGCTGTCAAGACTTTTTAGATATTTTTATACATCCTTAGTCTTCATAATTAGATGCCATAATTTCAATGTATACCTTAGTTTCCAGTGACTTGTATGGTATATAAATTGGTGCTGGGCTAAGAAGCATCTCCAAAGGATGACCCATTCTTGGGGCGTGGTAGCCAATTTGAGAGTCTGTGTTAATGCCTGTTCCAAAAACTTTATGCTGTTCTTTTGTTTTTATAGCTGCTACAGTAAAGCCATATCCACAAGCAATTTGAATAACCTGAAAATTTATGCAAAATAAATAACATTTTGATGTATGATTTCTTAACAAATTTCTATTCTATACTATTTAATACTTAAAAATATAAAAAGAAACTACATAGCCAATCTATTAAAATATTACAGCTATTAGTCTCTAAAACAAAACGCGCAGTAACGTTTAATTAGCAATATTTTGTTTTATCTTAATATCTTACATACGTCAAATCTTTCACAAAAGCTGGATCGCATAGGATGCCAGGCAAACTTGAAGTCATTCTTATAAGATTTGCTACCCCTATGTTTTCCCAAAGGTGAATGTATACCAAGGGCTCCTGTTTCCGCTAAACCCCAAACGTAAAGTCTTCGGTCTGAACTTTTGCTGACTGGATACTGAAAAACTGAGAAATAGTTATATTTAGTTACAATCGAGTATGTTTGTCAATATTTTCCGTTTTATCAAAAAAATCTTACTTGGTAGTTGCTCTTCCTCGTTAGGATCATGCATCTTCTTTTTTGTGGTTGCCGCTCGTTTTATATAAACGTTATTGCGCTGACAACGCAAAAGCACCTTTAGACTATTCATTTTTATTGTTAATTTAAGTTATTTATATTTTATCAAAAGACATTTAATTTAGCGAGACTATTTTTGCGCGAGGTAAATAGAAACTCGAAAATCGAAATAAAAAACATTGCATATAGACATTTCACATTGACAATTAAATACAGATTCCTAACAGAATTTAAAGTCAATATTTAACACAGATTAATAATCCTTACTAATATTATAAATGCGAAAGTAACTCTGTCTGTTACTCTTTGACGCCAAAACTACTGAACGGATTTGAATGAAATTTGGTACATAGATGATCTAGACCCTGAGAAAGGAAAAAGGCTTTTTATTGAGAAAAGGGGGTTAAACGGGGGGGTGAAAGTGTGTATGGAAAATCGTGGTTTTTGAAGCTAGAACAATGAAACTTTATTCTTTAGGAATAGGAGTGGAAGTGAGAGTGGGAGTTAGCGTAGGAGTGATGTGAGGTAAGAGTGACGCGGCAAAGTAGCACTTACAACATAGATTGGCTGCCTTAAATGCGCCCTTATATAAATTAAGAAACAGCCTAAATAATAAAAATTTCTACCCCAAGTCACTTTCCACGCGAACGAAGTCGCGGGCACAGCTAGTTTTATATAAAGGTTGTGTTTTTAGTCATTTTAATAAAGAACAGGAACCCAGTTTCCTGTAATTATTGTAGTACATATCGAATGGTACCCGTACTCAAATGTTTCTGAAATATATAGAAAATAAAACAAATAAATCTAATAATAAAAGACCATTTAATTTAAACACTGAATGCACTCGTCTATTTAATTTTTAAAAGGAAATTTGCGCGATATTGCGTGTTTTGAAAGAGGGCTTTAATGAGGCTACGTAGCTCTTCGGTACTAAAAAGGATCGCTAATGGACCTTTTCCATCATTCCAGTGGCTTTCGAGATCTCTTAAAGAGGCTCCTAGCACGAAGATTACTTCCTTAAACTTCGACCACGGCTTAACGTGTGCTTCAACATCACTTGGCGTCTGAAATCATTAAAATTTAGATTTTATAAAATATTGTTATTATTAAAGTTAAAATCTTGTTATTGTATTGTATTATTAAAAAAAAAAATACTGAAATTTTGTAAAGATTGATATACTCACATGAAACAGATGTGGTATCTTTTGTACAACAAGATTGTACATATCAGTCAATTGTGTTGCCATTTCAACTGGAATGTCTTCAACTGTGCATACTCTATGGATGAGTTCGTCCATAAACATATTTACTAGTGTTGCCATCAATCTGAAAGGATATATTTTATTAATACAGTGCAATAACTCTAGTACACGGCCTTATAATTTGTAATCGGTTAGCTACTAAAAAAACTTGTATGATTTAAATATTGTACTTGTCCCAGTAACTAGTTACTTGAAAACTCTTAGTATTTCCTTGAATAGTTAGAGAATTAACAATTAAAAAAAAATACCTGGTAAATACATTAGCGGGAAAGACTCCAATCCAGACATTTTTTAATAACTGCAATTGGCGAAGACACTGTCTTATTGCAGCTTCTGCATTTTCACTAAGCGCGTCCTTGCCCACCATACAATTAATATCTGGCAAGAAAAATAGCAGATATCTTTATTATATATTTTGTTTGTCACTAAAATTCAATAGGCTTTCACGAATTTACCCCATTAAACTGTTGGTTATAAAATATAAATATGGATTATTTATAGTGCATAAATAAATACAATCTTTTTTGATCCAAAGCAAAAATTAAATTTAACAATGATAATATTCATAGTAGATTTCCAAGATCTCAGTTCATACCAGAGGTTCTTATATTATCCAATATTTGTTTTCTCTGTTGTTGCATCTGCATAGCCAGATACTTATATCCAAGGTCTCTCATTTTTTGCACTAGATCCACAAAGCTGATGGCATAATCCACTTGACGGCCTTCCATGAGGTTAATCCACTTATCTCCTAAAGTCTGCAGGTTATGGGCCAAGTACATACAATTATTGTGAAACAGTGCTGCAAAAGACAAAAATGACTAATTAATCAGTTTTTGAAAAAGAGTTCTGTTTTGAGATTTTTTTATTAAGGAATATATTCACATTTATTTGTTAATTCATGACAACAAAATATTTCTAATTATAGCACCACCATTCAACATGCTACTTTAAAAAATCCATATTATTATTTAAGTATATATCTCAGACATTAATGTTTTTTAGACAATAGAATATGACAAATTTACATTTAAGAAGCATGAAATATTTGCTTATCAATGAGTTATGGCCAAACTTACCAACATATTGTGGTATAGTCATCAAAAAGTTTTCATGGTGGTAAGGTACAACAGCATCATACAATTCAAAAATAAATCTAGCTGTATTATAATGTTTTCTGCAGACTATATCTGTGCATTGTACAGCTTGCTCCATTAGGCCATACACAAGATCCAATAGCTCTTGTGTTGTCTTAGATATCATACACCTTGGAAAGTAGAACAAACTATGGGGTATACTTTTGTCAAAGGTACACAAAGCTTCCATCAAATCATCATTGTTAGTCTTCTTTATCTTAACTCCATCATCAGGTATCTTTTCAACCCCAATAGACATTGAAACACTTAAATCCTTAAGCATTATACCCCTAGCTGTCTCTAAGAAGTATTGACTTGACTTATTAGCAAAAAGAAAGTCAATGTCATTCATATAACTTAACAATGATGGACACTTTTCAGGAAAGAAGTGCAAGCATTTCAAAAATTGTTGAAACTCTTGAATCACCGATGTGGTCATATTATATGTTTGTAAATCTGTGATGTTATTAGGTACAGTGTTAATAAAAACCTCCTTAACTATCATTTCACTAAATTGTTCACATAACTGTTGTCCTATTAAACTAATAATAGTTGTTGATCTTTTGAACTCAACATTCAACTTTTCACTCAGATAATGGAAAAATAATCTAAAATTCGTTATAACTTCGTCAAATGTAGGTTTATAGTTTGGTTTATGCTCAATGGACACCTTTACTATAGATACATCGTCTGACTCAGAATATGTTAAACAGAACTCTCGCATAAATGGAATGAACACTTCATTCATAAGGAACTGAGCAAAATCTGTCACTCTTTCGTCTAGTTTTTTACATTTGTCCAATGCATTTAGTATATCAATGCTAGATAAATTGTCATTTAGGGCAACAGTTATTGTAATAACTGTAGAGTTATTTTTATCAATTATGGAGTTATAATCAACCATTCTGTCCCATTCTACAGTCAATTCTCTAACAAGGCCTTCTAGAATCAACTGTCCAGTAATTTTTGCATTACTGTATATTTCCAATTGGTCAAAACCATCAGATGGTTTTTCAACATACATGAGTAAATCATAAACAGTATCAACAGCTCTAGAGAAACTTTGGTCCTCCTTTCTATCTTCAAATTCCTTAACATATTTCCCACAGTTAATAATATCACTCACAATTTTATATGCAAAGTTGACGGATTCCAGTTCCTTAGCAATCAAATCATGACTCTCAATAGATTTTAGAATTTCAGCCATAGTTACATCTTCAATTTCATGTTTACATATTTCCATTTGTTCTACAAGTATTTGGCTCTCCGTAAATAATTCATTACCCTCTTTCAGAACTGCAGCTATATCAAAATCATTATTGTTTAGAAATGTTTTCAATTCAGCTTTAACCTTTTCAATTTCTTTAAGAACAACAGGAATTTTTTTATTTGGTGTCCAATCTACTTCATTAACATCAATTATACTAGAAATTATGGATTTAAAATTACACTCTTCCATTTTAGTATTTTCGTTTAGATCTATCTTTTTTAATAGTGGGTTCAGGTTTTCTATCATATTTAGGGTATTTGTTATTGGAATATTTGTGTTTATTTCGCGAAGAGTATTTGTTGGAGCTCACGGCATTCCTGAGTGTATTAACGAGGAATCGTTTATTCGTCTTCTGCTGAGGTGCTTTGACCCAACCCGAAGGTCCTACAATTTCTGCTCTGGCAGCACCTTGAACTGCTTCGCGTATCAACTCTTCGACGGCTAATCTACAAAAAAGATACGTTTTTAATATTTGTTACTAAAACACTTCACAGTAAAAAAGATGCAACAATATACTTCTCTAGGGCTTCGTCATCTAGCACTTCTTTATCGGGGGTTTTTGTAGCATCTTGCGTATCTGTCATAGTTCGAAATAAAATTTGTCTCTTTTTATCTCGTCTCCTTGATAAAACAGCCGGTATCAATAAAACTTTTACAACATTTCTATGGATATTATTACCATAACAACAAAATTAATTCAATAAAATTTTACAATTCGTTCTCCCCTCCCTTTGCGAAATTTAATATTGACATATGACAAATCTAGTATTAAACAGTGAAGTTAGCTGTCAACATAAAGAAACAAAACAATTATGAATGCGTTCGTTACACTGTACATTTTTCAATCAACAAAATCAGAAATATTTAAGTTATGATATTCTTCATAATATGACGTTTTTAATTTACAAAGCAGTGAGAATATATTTTAAAATAAAAATACAGATAAACCTTTTATATGAAACTACAGGGACAATTGGTCGCAAAATATGAACGCAAACTTAGGTATCAAGTGCCAATACAACAGACGCGTGGAGTGAACGTCAGCCACGTATGAGAGATTGTCAAACTGTAGCATTCGTAACATTTCACTTTCGCGATTGTCTTCGAGTTAATAATTTTAATTTAACCATAAGATACATAATAAAATAAAGGTAAGTACTCTCTTATTCTTCATTTAAGTATACAATTACCCAATTTCTGCTTAGAACCAACTTAGGTTCACATTTTCATTCATAAAAGTCTGGTCTATATTGGTCACTTACAGAGATTTATATTATTTTCAGATAAAATGGCTATGAAAGTAATCTCTCTACTCGTATTAATCACTGCTGCGGTTTTAGCCGACGAAGAAGCGGCTGTTGCAAGGTTATTAGTTTCAAAACAAGTGTTGAACAAATATTTAGTGGAAAACATGGATATTCTAATTAAATACACATTATACAACGTCGGCACTGCACCAGCGGTTGACGTGAAGCTGGTAGACAATGGATTCCACCCAGAAGTATTCTCCATCGTTGGAGGCCAACTTTCTGCTGAAATTGATAGGATCCCTCCACAAACAAATGTCTCGCATGTAGTTACTGTTAGATCAAACAGATTTGGTTACTTTAATTTTACTGCCGCTGAAGTGACATACAGGCCAAGTGAAGACTCTGAAGAGGTAAGAATTTTAAGCTTAAAGAAGTAATAACAAAACTTTCTTAAAAGTAACAAATATGTATAAATATGTAAAATAATTACTTCCATTATGTATTGTTTATAGTGAATATAGTTCTGTGATTGATATTATTATTATTTAATAATATCTAGTATGTCAGATATGTCATGTTCTACCTAATGCAATGCCACACAAGGATAGAGACATGCTTTTTTACAAACTATTATGAGAGGTAGTCTTTCAAACATATAACATGAAGAGCTATGATAGGCCTTCTTAACTGTAAATGCTAGTAATGTATCTTAAGTACTATTTTTTTTTTCTTTTTCTCTAGATTAAACTACTTAGGGAAAAATTATTTATGCTTCACTTTAAACTTATTAAGCTAAATGGTAATACATGCCATGTAATTCCAGGTTCAATTCTCCATCAGCAGTGCTCCCGGCGAGGGTGCCATTGTAGCATTCAAGGACTATGACCGCAAATTCTCATCACACATTCTTGATTGGGCTGCCTTTGCTGTTATGACTCTGCCATCTTTAGCTATTCCTTTTGGTCTATGGTACTCATCAAAGAGCAAGTATGAAAAACTTGCAAAACCAAAAAAAACTCACTAAGTTAAGACCCAGTTAGGTTAAGTCATGCTAATGTATGCCTCAGACTGTCAAACTACCCTCATATTTACAGTGAGCAGACCTAGACAAACATTTAGAAACAATGTAAATTATGTTAAATTTTATATTTAGATACAAACATCAATTGCTTTAAAAGTTCTTATCATACAGGCATCATTAGTTTCATTTGATCATCAATTCATAGTCATTGTTGCTAATTTATATTATGAACAATAAATTAATTTTTAATAATTTGTATTTTTACTTAGACCACTAATCATAGGAAAGAAATATTACTTTAATATAATTTCAAGTAGAATCAAAACATACCATAGTCCTTTTACTCACTTAGTAGTCAAATAGAGCTGCTTAAAATCCAGAGATATATCTCGATTTTAATATTTAACTATAGAGGAGCAATCAACTATATATTATACAGTTTTAAAAAGTGTATTATACACAAAGTAGATATTACAAATATTGACTGAGTCTTTATTTTGTTAGAGGAATGACAATGAGGACAAGCATGGAGTTCACTTCATGGTAGGTGAAAACCAGCCATCTAAACATTCACAGTCAACCTATTTTGGGCTTTAGATCTTCAGCATATTTAATTTACTTATATACAATGTGATCCGTATCATCAGGCAGGCCGATTCTACTAATTTAATGACGTTTCGATCAAGTTGCAGTCACGCTGCGATTTGATTTCGATTCAGCGCCGATGGTATTCTCTTAATTTGACAACTGCGTATCCAATAAGGTACGCCAGCGAATTGTCAAATACCCGCTGGCGTCACGTAAACTTAGACGAGAATACCAAAAGAACAAAACGTCACTGCATCTGCGCTGCTGCTTAACTTATATTCATACGAGAAGCGGCCTGCTGGTCGTAGTTAAAAATAATCACTAAATATTTTATATTATAGTACTTATTCGACTAGACTACGTATTCGACAAGGTTGACCATAATCTTCTGTGTCAAAAGCTATCTTCACGCGGGATGCACGGTAATCTGCTCAGGTGGATAAAATCTTACCTCGAGAGGCGAAGTCAGCTTGGGATATTGCATGGCTATAAATCGTCACCGATTAGTGTAAAATCAGGAGTTCCGCAAGGCTCCCATCTCGGCCCATTGCTCTTTGCTATATTTATAAACGATCTTGCTACAAGTATCACTAGTCCTTGTCATTTCACCTCAAAATTTTCCGTACCATTGACAGTACTTCTGATTTTTCTGCTCTTCAGAATGACATTAATCATATTATCAAATGGTGTGATGATAATCTGATGTACTTAAATGTTGATAAATGTGTATCGATAAGTTTCAGTAATAAAAAAGTAAAAGCCACCTACAATTACAAAATAAACGATGTACAATTACCTCTCAAAAGCTCTGTAAAAGACCTAGGTATTATATTTGATGATAAGCTGTCTTTTCATGAACATTTTGGCTGTATATATTTAATAAAGCACTCAGAATGCTAGGTTTTGTAATACGCTCAAGTAAGAATTTTAAGTAATAGTTTTCAGTAATAGTTTCATCTATATTTACAAATCATTTATTCATCAAAATCATCATTTATCACTTAACTGACGAGTAACAAATATTACATGTACTGCGTTCTAGACATTAATAAACATTGCATGTTGTATATAATTAGCCTAAATTTAATGCACATCGCGTCAAATGAAGCTGAGGAATCGCTTCAACGATTGAAACTCCATTGCTTATAATCCTTGTAATATTTTATCGGTGTAATGTTACGATAACGTAATTCGGATACTGGATATCAAGCAGGTCGTCTTTTTTATATCCAACATTTAATAAAGATTAATATAGAAAGCTTAAAACAAAAAATAACTCCGTTCGTTTCAACCTATCATTTATTATCTACATCATCTAAGCATGGGTCAGGGTTTAAAAAGCTTACATCCACCAAAGTTTCGTGGGCTTTACCTACTATGGTAAGGCGACGCACCTACTAGGGAGGGGAGAAAAAGGTAGGGTAGGAGGTAGTTCTCCCCTCCCCCCCCCTCTTCGCGCCACTACGTTGTATCACAAGGCACCATATTAATTTAACAGTGCGAATGTTACCTGGATGATTCATTACTCTGTACGATCGATAAGCGTAATATTAGACGGCGACCTATTTTTGGTATAAGTAGGAAGCCCTATAAGTAATAAGTTGTTTGAGCGCTTACAAAAAAATAGGACGATTATATATTCTCGTAAATTTAGGTTCAGTCGGCTGTTAATATATAACCGCACCGAATTTGTTTTTTATGACAGACAAAACTATTTTACTTTCGTGTTTTTTACACTCGTTTCCCCGTTCCAAACCTCCTTCAATCTATTAAATCCCAAATATTTTTCTAAATACTAGGAAGTATTAAAACAATATGTAGTATATAACTCTGTTACAAAAAATAAAAACAACTACCTTTATATGTGTAGAAATATAATATCAATAATAATCAATCACCTGAAAATGTGGAAAGCTAAGAGTGGACAACCTGATAATGTTGAAACGTTGTTTTATCACAAAGAAAGGTTTTGGATATTCGCTTTTTCTTTATATATACGCACGAGAGGCCAGGGTTTGAATCGGCAGGGCATAGATGTCAGACTTCATGATAGAGGAAAACGGACACTAGATGAAAGGTGAAATACTCCAGTCATATAACTTCAAAACAAGATGCACTGTAGATCCATTTTGGCTTTGGATACTCGGAAATCCACAGACTGATACTGAACTACGATTAAACTTTACGTGTTTTCGTTTGGACCATACCAAACCAATAATAAAGAAATTAATAAGGCCGAAAATATTTTTTATCGGTTAATATAAAAAAATATTGGCATTGGAAACCGTATTTTCTGACCGTTAATTAAACGATCTCATTGCTTAGAGATATTGCATAATGAATGAACACCTTTCACTTGTCCAGTATGTGAGCATTGCATCTATAAGTATTTCACGAATAAGTGCAAAATATAAATTTATTAAACGTCGAAGCGAAGTATAAAATAAGAACTATTAAATACCAATGACTTTAAATTAAAAGAAGAGTATAATATGGAATATATAATATAAACGGGTGTTTCGTCTCTTTTCAAATTCTATGTATAGTTGTATTACCTAAGGCTCTCATTTTCATTGCATATTTAAATGATTTGTTTTAGAAATACAGACAAATCTTCCAATACGAAATAGTTAACTTGTTTTACAAATGAATTTACAAAAGTATTATTCTATGCAAGAAGAAAAGAAATATAAATTAAAGAAGGTAGATTTTCAAGACGTCATTTATTTGTCGCAAATACGTGGTTACGATACAAACACAATAATAAAATATACTCTGTACAAAACGAAACAACAAATGAAATCTTAAAGCATAAACAGCCATTTAAGTTAATCACATTAATCAAATCGATATTATGTAAAAATACACGTATGTCACTTCCTCTTTCGAAGAGACGAGCTACCATTATAACGAAAAATCACACAGATAAAAGCGTTTTAGTATGAATAAATATCTAGAAACGTGTCATTGATAAAATAATTTTAATAAAAATGTACCGTCTTCATGCAAATTGATTTAAGAAATGTATCGTTTAGATAATACTTCTATGAAGGCGGCTCGCAAAATACGTTAATAAATATAAATAACATGTTTCATGAATAAATCTCCTGTCGAAGACATAATACGAAGTGTAGTGAATAACGAAAAATAATTTTACATGCAAAAAATAGATTTTAACTAAATAAAATTAAAAATTGTACTAGGTTTCAAGTTACATTGTCTCTAGACATGTGTCTTACTTTTTATATAGGTTTTCGTACACTTAATAATTTAATTACAGTATTATGCAACATCTAATAGATAATTCTAATATGTGTTCGAATTTATAGAGAGTGCAAATTGATTTTTGTTTTCGCTAAGGTTTTGTGTTAATATAATTTTTACATAACTTATACTAGATAATAAAGAGCCAAAAGAATTTGATAAAATGGGTCATTTTGAATCATGAGTTAGTTAATTTACCATTGCATTTTAGTAATAAATAATATAGAATGTGTTAATTGTAATAAAACGGTTTTGATATTGATTGACTCTTAATCTTGAGAGCTTCTATCAAAAGACCCTGAATAATAATTGGACGATTTCAGAATCCCCTAACAATGTAAATTGCACAAAGAAAAGATGGTTCATGTTTGTTGAAGAGGAATGTAATCTAAATTCTAGATATAAGGGTGCATTGTATCCACTATTTAAGTCTTTTTCACTAAAGCTAATTTTGCTTACATGTAATGAGTTGTAACATGGAAATGTATCCAAAAACTAGCAGTATTAATTACCAGCTCATTAGTGAAGATAATCATCGCGATCAACATTTCCAGTTCATCCCGAAAAGCTAGATGTACGTGAGTGTTAAGATCATCAATTTTACCATAAATTAAAGATATTATATATTGACTTATATTACATATAAAAATATAGCATTATTTATTTACACCGTTCAATCGTGCATCGATATCTTAATGGTCCTTATCGGTGATATTTGGTATATTACGCGATAAACCGCGAATTAAACTATTATACCATTTATTTCCACGAAAAATTTAAATATTGATAGGGTCCGGATTATAGGCAAGATTTACGACAGGCGAGGACGCCCCGTAATCAGGGGTGGATGGTGTCGAAACTGGGGTAGAATCAACTGGTCGCAAAAGAACCGGAGCCACATATTCTTTTGGAGTAACGCTAGACTCCTCTTGTAACGGCGCCGGCGGTGTGCAACTAGGGAAGGGACTGAGCAGCAAAAACGTGCCAAATGTCACAATGGACGCCATTATTAGGATAATAGTCCGCGCCTCGAAACCCGCACGCAACCCGGCCCATGCCGCCATGTTAATCAGCAAAAGTAATACAGAAATCCGTATCAATCTCACAGCTGTCGAATGAATTCTGCCGCCCCCGACTCCACTCATATCACTCGGGCCGTAAGCAAAGTACAAATTATGCTTGTCGCCGATATGCTTGAGAATGAAATAAATCAGACCGAATGGTGAAATCAGAGGGCACGCAAGACTGTATACCATAGTAATGGAGAAGATAGCTAAACTCCAAGCGTAGTGCACCCCGAACGGAAACTCGTACAGAATAGCTTTTTTCACGTAACTCTTTTCGGCTTTTGACTTTGACTGTAAAAGGTACCACACGTATAGAAATAGCTCAGGAAATCGAATCAGCTCCAGAGAAGTTCCAATGAACCCCGACGTAATTACGTAATTGACAAAGAACGCTCCCTTATCGGGCAAAAATACGCAATCCCAACGCATTGTGTCATTGACATGGTGCAACGTCCAACTAAACAAAGCGTCCGCACTAGCTAGCCCCAAAGAAGGCAAAATCAACGTCATAAGGAGAAGGAATGTCACCGTTTTAGTCATAATGGAGTAATTTTGTTGAGACTTAGTCCAATGTGATAAAAATTTATCAGAGAACGAAACCAGCGCGGGCATAACAGCGGCCATTGTCCAAAGCAATAGAGTGGGTAGAAAATCCAAGATCAAGCTACTAAACTTGCTAACAGTCTCAGGTTTAACAAAAATGTTGTTGAACAAATTTACTATAATAGCAGGGGTTGTTAAAAAGAAAAGTACAACAAATAGACAGAAGTTGACAAGGATAACTTTGACATACCATACCCCTGGCTGGACACTGAGATTTTCCCAAATTATGTCAGATGGATTAGTAGCATGTGATAGCACCCAACCACGGTGCAGGCTAAAATGACTAATAACATGTTCAGCTAGTTGATAAGAAGGTAGTGTTAAAAAGGCAATACCTAATGGATCATTCAGCACAATAGCCCGGCAACGCTTAGCTTCATCTTTCAAGCGTTTCTCTTCATTAGTGTAGTATTCAAGAGCATCTACCTCTTCTCCGCAAAGTTGTGGGCGTACTGTTATCCGCTTTCCTGTTTTCCTATAATATGCATCAGTATAAATCAAAGCTTCTGTCACCATCTCCTTTCTCTCTTGCACTTCAATGAGTTTATTCACATTGTAAGCCATTTTTAAATCAACTATTTGTATATGCGGAAAATTATGGGCAAAATAGGCTCTGATAGTCCCTTCATTTCTATCAGCTCTTGATATATTAGTTATCATGATTGTACCAGTCATTGATGTGGGAACTGGTTTTCTACCTGTACACCTTCTCATAATCAATACCGATACAGGAAGGAATGAAATACTTATCAAGGTATGGACCCAGAGCCAGTAAGATCTTCCAGTAAGATTGGATAGGGTAGTTCTACTGAATGTGCTGGCATCAACTTGCAAATTGGTTCCTTGAAAGTTAATTGGTAAGATAATGCCAATAGACACGAGCGTAACAATAAACATCAATGTTATGGCGTGCCTTTGAAACGATAGATAATGCACAGCATCTGGGCCACACTTAGCAAGGACTTGTTCCCGGGTCAGGCGAAACACAGCTGGTAACCACGTGAAAAATCCTTCATCAATACTTAGCGATTCGTCCGTGTTTCGACGTCTTTCAACCAACGCGTCATTATCTCCGCCGCGGTAGAATAAGTTTGTCCATCGATTCTTCGATCGTTGCACCAGCGCCATACGCCCATAATTCCACGCTGTGCGCCGCAACACAGTAAACAACAAAAGCAGCGAAACCCACGAAATAACGTTGAGTATCAAGGTCTGCGGAATGCCATTGTATGCTCCAGTAATTATGACGTTCTGGGTTGAATTCCAGAGCATGCATCCTTCATCTGTTCCGTTTGAGGAATTAGCTGGCAAAGTATACAGTATTCCACTAGCAGTAAAACGACTCATTTTGATGTCGCAACAGGGAACCAGTGAAAGGAGAACAATCACATAATTTTGAAACTAATAATGTTTATACTGCACTTCGTCTGCTCGTGACAACTTTTACACCATTAGATATATCTCTAGTAAGAAAAATGTCAATAATTTTATAATTTCAGTCTAAACCAACGACTAATCTACATAACATATTTCACACTTCACTAATAAAGATTAAAATAATATTAGAATCCAAACGATAATGATCTCATTTCGTTATTGTCACTGTCAGTGTCACTGTCTAGAGTACTCCAAAGCTTTTTTAAAACGTAAGATTTGGAATATAGTCATTTAACCGACTGTCACAGCGTATTATTACTATTGTTGTAGCGAACGCTCTGAGCACCAATTTTAGAGTTAAATAAATTTATAATTTAATTTATAAAATTATACGATATAATAAAAAAAATACTGTTTCCAAAAATCTTATCTATTAGATATATTATTTCTCATAATTTGTTTTAAAGCACTTAGAAATGTTTAAACAAACATAATAATGTTTAAAATAAAATGCCCCAAATCTTTAATATCGTTTGTGTTTTAAGGCAATACACAAATAGCTATAATATTTAACTAAGCAGCTTAATACTGCTATAATAAACTTGTGTTTTGTATGCGTTACTCTAAATTATACAATATCGTTATTACTAGCGTAAATAATAAGTGTAGCCCGTCACTGTAAAGATATCCTCTCATATTACAGACATGGTAGATAAACAAAATGACAGATTCATTACAAATAAAAAATAAAAATTGCAACTCATGTTGAAAATATACGATCTATAATATTATATGTATATCGTTTATTTTAATATTATTTTTAGAACGTTTGTAGTTTATCATCATATAACATCTAGTTAACTTATTGTATCATTCTATGGTTTAGAATGATACAATAAGTTAAATGTTAAAGAAGCAGTTAGATTATCCGATTTCATAGAAAGAGAAAGCGCGTAAAATTAAAATTACAATTTGCATGTAAGTAACAGAGATAGATACATTAGACTGTAAAGTACATGAGATTTTGAATAGGCACTGGGTTTTATAATTCATTTTATTTTGTTCTGAAAATTTTTTCGATGGAAGTTTGGGGCTCGTAAATTTTATTTAAAATTAATTGACGACGGTTGTAATACTTTTGCAATAGCCAATTACTTTAATGTTATCCTTAAAATATTTAAATGAAAGATGGAATTTGATTGGAATAATTATTTAGAAGATAATAAAAGCATTGCTGTCCCTGAAGAATTATTTTCTCACGTAAGTCATGAGTTTTTTTTTGCAGACTTTTTGATAATATCATATGAATTTCTTTAAGTGTTTTAAATTTTGTTAATTAATAAATATACTGAAATCATTAAGACAATAATAGAAGGAAAAAGTGCGACATTATAGCATATTGTTTTAAAGTGGTGAGAATAATTTAGATCTCATATTTTTATGCAAGGAAGATGTACGCTATTTCTTTGTTATTTTGGAATTACTTTTCAATCATATGTCTGCACTATACTGTGATTTGTTAGTTGTTAAAAGCAATTTAACAGTTACCTAATTAAGTGAAGTAATTATATCGCCTTCATTGTCATTAATATGTGATTCGTACGACGGTGTCTACAAATAAAAAAATATTAATAAAAAGAGTATAACATAAATTAAGTATTACAAAAGAATATCTATCCTTAATATTTAATGAAGAAAATTATAATCCTGCTGCATAGACTTTAATATTGGTGTATTTGCATTTCTTAATTAAAGTGTCTGTGTGTTTAAAACTAACATTTAGAGGCTATATAATTTTTTAAATATTTATGTATTATATTATGTACAATAATTTAAAAAAATATCAAGTACTTAAATATTTTACAAAACAAAAATATACATAAATTTAGTAAATTATTAATATGTAAATGTGTTATTATGAATTGAGATCATAATAACTAGTTCTCATTATCTTTATATACCTATAATATTATAGTACCTTTGTTTCCTTAATGATAAGGATAAAAAGCTTGGTCTCAATTGTATGTAAGTACTTAATGGGTGATACGAAAAATTGTCTTATGTTAAAATATTATTTAACCTTCAGTAAGCATTCAACTTTAAAGTACCTGCCTTTCTTTCAGTTTTAAAATACCTATTTACTGATTACTTTTCTTTTTATAATGTAAATATATCTAACTATTTTATTAGCTTCACTTGTGTTAGAGAGCAACATTTAGGTACATAAATATGTTCTATCAAAAAATGTTAACCAAGAGTATAGTATAATGGACATTTAAGATGCCATCCTAACAAATAATAAAAACAACAGTCTTAATACAAACTGAAAGTCTTTTAACATTAGCAAAAGTCTCAACTGGTCTATTTATTTCCTTAGGTTGAGTTAAGTCTTCACAATGGAATCAAACAAGGAATGCTCTTTGAGGTATGCCACAAAAACAACCCAGATGTCTATTGGATTGCCGAAATCACCATGGTCTGCGGTCACCTACTCCGGATCAAGTTTATAGGTGCTCAAGAGAACTTCTGGTGTGATATATCCACCACCAAAGTCCATCCACTTGGCTGGTGTGGGAAGTATGATGAATTAATAGAACCACCAGATGAAATCAATGAAAAATGTGGAGATACAATTATAGAAATAATGAGAAAGGCCCTATTGGTCGGACAATCAGTGTCATTAGAAGCATTAAATAATAAGGGGTTGTCTCCTATAGATAGAATAAAAGTTGGGATGAAGGTCGAGATACAGAATTTACTTGATCCATATAAATATTGGATTGCAACTGTGAGTATATCTATGATAAAATTTACTGAAAAATATTGTGTTCAATTTCAAAATTCAATTGGCATTGAAATTCTAAAATGTGTATAGAGATATATTAAAAATACTTTTTTAGAGGAAGTTGTATAGATTTTAATTATACTGGATTATAATTTAAATATCAAATGACATGACATCAAATATAAAAAACCGTGAATCATGTATTTTATATTGACGTCGTTATGTTTTTATTTATGTATTTATAATATGGGTGAAATGGTCGGCTGATAGCGTGGACCGGCCTACCACAGGTGTCCGCGATAGAAAATAATAATAATGTATATATAATATGTAAAAAACAGAATTGAATTAATTAGACTAAAGACTACTTCAACTCTGTCCTGTAATAACTTAATTCTTGTCCAACAACATAGAAAAGTTTTTTTTATGTAGCTTGTCAATTGACGTTGGAAAGGTACAAAAAAATGTTACCAAACAAATCCTTCTCTATAAATTGTAATAAAAAAATGTTAATACCAAGATTATAACATAATTTTTATATTACATGCAGGTATGTGAAAATGTCGGCGGTCGGCTTTTAGTTCGGTACGACGGAGCTGACGACGATGTGCCACCGTCTTGGTTGTTTTTCTCTAACCCGAGGATTAGTAGCTTCGGTTCCGTGACAAATAAGGTACAATAAGGTTTTCTACTTAGGTTTAAAAAAAAAATAATAAGAAGTTGGTATTTCTATTAACGCCAACAAATCAAGTTTTACAGGTATGTTGTAGGCATAATAAAGCTATTAAATTTGTTTTGATATATCTTAATTATTTTAATAAAAGTTTTAAATATGACTATGTATACAATCACGAATTGGTTTTAAACAGGACAAGACAACAACAGGACATTATAAGAATAGAAAACCTTTACAATTGATTTTAAATTAAACGATTAGTTATGTTGACTATTTTTAAGAAAGTATTTTATATTATGGATAGGTAACTGCCTTATTTAATTAATTCAAGTCTATGAATATGTTTTAAACCTTTAAAAAGTCATAAAATTATATTTTTAAATGCTGGAAAACATCGTATTACTCAGAACTGTACACCGAGTACACGAGTGCAGTTAACAAAACCAAAATAATATGAGCTTTTAATTTCATAAGAGGAGTAGCTCTATGGGAAAATATCTATATCTATACTAATATATAAAGCTGAAGAGTTTGTTTGTTTATTTGAACGCGCTAATCTCAGGAAGTACGGGTTCGAATTGAAAAAATATTTTTGTGTTGGCTAGAGCATTTGTCGAGGAAGGCTATAGGCTATAAAACATTGTGCTATGACTAATAGAAGCGAAGATACAGCGGGAAATGTGAACAAAACGGAAGAAATTATTCACAATATGGGTTACCGAAGCTTACGCTGCAATAACAGTTCAAGATACCAAAAAAATATGTATGAAAGAATGATTCCTCTTTAAATAATCTAAAAAAAAGTCTTCGGCGCTAAATGTCTATCAGATTAACTGCAAGAGAAGGGCCGCGACCGACGTCGTGGGTAACAGCTTAAGTTTATAAAGATGAAGGGATTTGCAAGAAGGAAATTCAATGCACAAAATAACTCTTCTATGCGGACGAAGTCGCTGGCACAGCTAGTTATTAATAAAGTTAATGTTAGGAAAATAACAGAAACTACCAACTCGACTTAAGTCGTTGTAATTGTGAATTATTCAATTTGGTGTTGTACATTGCAGGGCTCTCCATGGCAATTCAAATATCCAGGCAAAGTGAATAAGTTCTCTTGTAAGAATAAATTAAGCATTCAGTTAAGGCTGAGTGCTGAGGAATCAATTAAGGAGCCGACTCCAGCTGATTTGTTTCAGGTAATCGAAGGTGTTAAGTGTGCTTTTTTGTGTGTATGTTGTGAGTGTTAGTTTGTTTATCTTAAAAAAATGTACTTTAGATAACTTTGAAAAAAAAATTAAGACGTGGTATGGTAATAAAACTAAATATCATCTAATATACAATGTTTAAATCAAAATGTGGAACCTCAGGACATTAAGTTGTCATTACATCATATATATATTTCATGTATAATTACAGCCCACTCAAACATACGAAGCTCACAGCTTTTCCACGGGAATGAAGGTGGAAGCGTTAAGCCCACTAGACATGAGGACTATCCGGCCAGCTACAGTCACCAAGATTTTCAATAATCTCCACTTTTTGGTCGTTCTCGATGACCATCAGGAAGATTATGAGGACACGAGGACAGCGTGGCTATGTGACAGCATGCATCCATACATATACCCCATTGGTTTCGCGAAACAGAACAACATACCCTTTAAAGCGCCCAAGGGCAGCAAGGAAACGTTCGACTGGGACGAGTATTTAACTGAAACATCCTCTGTCCCTGCGCCGGATTATTGCTTCGGCAAGAAAGATCGACTTACGGGTATCGAACCGAATATGAAGCTCGAAGCGGCTAACCCACTGAATCCAGAGGAGATTCATGTAGCCACGATAGAAAGGATAGCAGAGCATATGGTGTTTGTTGAGCTCTTGCCAATTGGGGAGAGATTCTGGTACTCGCAAGATAGTGATTTGCTGTTCCCAGTTGGCTGGTGCGATAGTAATAATTATGAATTGCATATACCAGATGTAAGTCCCAAAGAAGTGCCAAAGCAACCAGAACCAAAGAAGGTTCGTGAGGAGTTGAAAACCACGGAAGAGTGGTGTGATAGGTTTGTTTTTTATTGTATGTTTGCAAATTGTAGGTTTAATTGGATTAAAAACAGTGGCTAAGGATTTGTCAGTTAGTCGCGGACTTTCTGCTCTCTCAATTTGGATACAGATACAAATTTGAATAAAGAAATATATTTATTATCATATGTTTTAAATTATTACATTCCGATATGTACTGTTATATACATACTATATATTTAAATTATACAAGACTATTTATTGGCCAATTTTTTTAATTGGTTACTTAATTTAATCTTTTAACATTTAATATTTTTAATCAATTGGTACAATTTCCCTTCTAAACATCATGAATATCTTACTTTATGTTTAACAGGATATTTTTCAACTACAAATGCTACGCTGGACCATCAATAAGCAGGAACAAATTGTCCCAACTGCCGAAACACGTAGGGCCGGGGCCACTGAGTTTGGTCTTGAAGGAGGTACTAAATAAAATTATATCGGCTTCGTACAAGCCGGCAAAGCTGTTGAAGGACTGGGAGACAGAGGGACCGCCCGATGATGGGATGAGGCTTGAAATGCTGAGAGCCAAGTGAGTTTTGTTATCACATTATGTAGTTATAATACTCATAATATTAGTGGAAATAATAAGATACTAGACCCTCTTATGTTAAGTTGAAGTTGATATAGCAGTGTGTCAAATGAGTATGCAGAAGATAAAGAATTTCAAAAGACATAGATGGCGCCGTCGTGCATTTAAACACCAAAATCCGTTGTACTTTTAATTTATTTTTCTCTCATAATACAAACCACATCTGTCAATTGCAGACTGAAAACGAGCACCTACCACGCCTATGTGCCCATAGTGACATCATTAGATCAAGTGGCTGCCTTTTGTCGCTCTGTGTGCGTGAAGCTGCAGGGATGCCCTTTGCTCTTCGGACCCACTCATTATCCGGAAATGTGCCCTAATAATTGCCAGAATGTCGATAAATCTACATTCCGTAAGTAGCTATTATTGTGGACGTAACTAAATAACAACATGTTTTTTTTTAAATAGCTTCTATGTCTTCTACCGAGAAATCTGTAAATATTTAACCTTTTTTTTTATCAGACAATGGAACTGAACGTCGCGGCAGACCGAAGGGATCAGTGAATGGCCGGAGGAAGAAGAAGAAGCCAGTACCAGAAAAACGCCAAGAACCACAACCGGTAGAAACCGATAACAATGTTGAGTTGGTAGAAAGCGAGCACAGCGCAGGATCTACACCGCCTTCCGAATCTGGAACCAGACCCAATTCCCCAGAAAGCCTCACAGATTACAAACGAAACACAAGGAGAAAGCGGGATGCCAAGAACTTCCCTAAACTAGAGATGAAAACCCGGGGAGCTAAACTACCCAACTTCGCGCTACAAATGAAAGAAGCCCATTGGAATAAGAAAGACGTTGAGACGATTTATAACAACACATGCGCAAAGAAACAAGACAGCGATACAGAAAATGAAACAAACGAAAGCAGCTGTCACTCCAGAGATAAAAACATTTCAGATGTGTCAGATAGCGAGGAGCCAGAACTGAAAAAATTAAAGATCAATTTCAACGACCCGCTACCCACCGACAATAAAATGTTTGAAAAAGACGCTCCGATGGCCTGGATAAAACAGACGAAGTTAGCTCCCAATCCGTTGCATTGGAGCGTAGATGACGTCTACAACTACCTCATAAGCACAGACTGCAAACTAGTCGCGGAGAAAATGAAACAGGAGGAAATAGACGGACAAGCATTTATTATGTTGGATTTAAATATTATTAGGGACTTCCTGCACATGAAAAAGGAATTCGCCGTGCAGCTCTGCAAGCACATCACAATGGTTAGGTGGTATTATGTAATCAATTTCGAGGAAAACTAGTATAATAAAGTGTTGTTGAAATTCGTGTTTCATTAGAAGGTACTTTTTCTAAAGCGTTTACAGAGATAGTTGCATATTTTCGACATGAATGATCTATTTTCTTGGCTTTCAAAAATGAAATCTTCGTTTAATGAGATGTCTTTTTTTGGATTCGATATCTTCACTGGTATAGTTCGATCGTGCGATTGCGCATGGTGTTGCGTTATATATTTTTCTAATTGCCGTTTCTTTGCTGCTATCTTTTTTATGTTCTCGGCCGACGCGAGCTGCCCTTCTAATCCGTCTACGCTCGAATCTCGAATATTAATCTCGGATAGTTGACTACGGTTGTTCATTTTTATAGCTACGTATGGCGATACGCTGAAAAGATAAATGTTAAGTGTTTCTTCTTTCTTGCTATTTCCTCTGTTATTTGAACTATCTTCCGCAGACTCGGTGGAATAGTTCTCGTTCTTATACGTCTCCACAGCGATTGAGTCTTTAGATGTTAAGTCGTTTTCTAAAATATAATCCCTATTAACTTCTGTTTCGGACGTTGAAAGTATATTTTGGATCATGTTCTTTATAAAATCTTCCATTTCGACTATGGAATCGTCATTCCTTGTGAGAATTTCATTATATTTCTTTTTGTAGATTTCATAATCTTTCATGCTACTGTAAAACTTATCGAAGATTTCCCGTACAGTTGATCTGAATAGTTTTATATTTGAGTCGAGGCCTTCGGAAGACATGCCGTCCGTTTGCAATTCCGGTGACTTTTTCTCAAATACTTTTGTTTCTAAATTATCAAGATCAGAATTAGTAATCGAATCCTTTGTATCGCCAGACATACGATCCTCTTTATACGAATTATCATTAGAACTGTGTTCTTTAACTGGCATTTCATCATATTCGTATCGTTTGTAATATTCTTCGCAACTATCCTTTATGAGAAAAATATCGCTCTTAAGTGCATTTTGGCTGTTAAACGGTAAAGTAACGTTGACATCGGATTTTGAAAAAGTTCTTGTGTCTACAGATGCTGAAGGGCAACTGTTTGTGTAAGAACTGTGCCTAGTTCTAACGCTATCTGCTGAAATCAGAATAAACGATTTCAAAGACATGTTGTCCTCTATTTAATTAATTGAATTTTAAAACATACCCATTATTAACACTGTAATTTCTAAAATATTAGTTTTCTAATCTCAATGCCATAAACTTCAAATAATTTTATTTAGTTAAGAACTAATAAAAGCCAAAACAAAACGAAGTTGACACTTTTCGTCTCAATATTATTGACATTTATTTTAGCTCGTCTAACATTATGTGCCAGCAATCATTTATCTAATTATTATAATATTATCTATTAATAATAATGTAATATAAGACGGTCAACCGCTTTCGATGAACGAAATTGAAGAATAACTAAAAAATATATCCGATAATTTTCCTTAAAAATATGATATATATTTAAATAAAGGAGGTGGTTGATTTAGTCAATAAGTGATTTAATAACAAAAAAATTGTATAATGTAACCCATTACGCTGGGTTCTTTGGTGTTAAAATTACCGCCATGCGTAGATTTAAATAATTCCACCGTGTAACACAGAACTACACATGATAATATTTATTGTATATATTTAACCTATATTTTCGTTATGTACTCTGTGAAACATGTCGCTTACTCGACTGCCATCTGTACTTTGTGGAACTGTCATCCTTAGTTTGTGGTAGTTGAATTGATCACTGTCGAAACGGGAATCTCAATTCTACAAGGCCCCGCCTTTTAAAAATCTGTAAATATAATTTACATGGCCCTCTCGCGATGATGTGTTTATAAAATATAAAATCTAGGTAATTGAATTACAATTACGTATTTCTATAATATTGGTGTTCATTAAAAGTTACAAAGTTTCTGTTATGCTAATTGTTGCTTTGCCGATTGTAGTTTTCTTGTGAGATTGTGCTGTTTGGCGTAATTTGTTCTACAAAATCAGTGTTATTCAGTAGTTTTATGGTCAGTGTACCGTTGGGCAAACCGCGGGAAAACATTTTCATTTATAACGGTTTAGAACTTAAGTGATATTAAAACTATTTTTAGTGGGTGTTGTCAGAGTTTCGGATTAGGTCATCGAGTGCCGTGAACATGTGTGCCGAAATGTTTTCGTGTTATTAAAAGCCTGTTTTCATTTTTCATTAGATCAACGCGTAGCAGAACTACAAAAATGGATACAAAAGTGTTATGTTTCGTCGCTATACTTTCTCAAGCGGCTGCCCTACGTAAGTAATATACTAAAATAGATCTCGCATATATTTCAATTTTGCCGACTTATCAAGAACAAGTTTAATAACATTGTTTATCATGTCAGAATTCTACTTATCTTTGTAAGTGATAGTTCTTGCCAAAATAAAAGCATCGTTCATTCTAATATATAAAATGATATGTAAGTATACTGATTTTTAAATTATTGATTTATAAAATGGCAATATAAAATTATTCTAGTAGTATTCCAATTTTTGAATAAGACTTTTCTTATGACTGGTAACTATATATTTTTTATTGATAAATGTCAGTAAAGCAGTAAAAGTAAAGTAATTTTATCTATAGTAAAATCAGGTCTGTCCATGTATAAGATGTTTATAGAAATAAATAAAATTATAGCAGAATTTATAAAGTCATCCTTCGTTAAATGGAATGTAGATTTTATTAGTAATTTAAAATCAATTAGATACAATGTTTTTATATTTTATTCTTACATCAGTTGGGAGAAACATGCGTGTTCATGAGAATTTAAAAGAAGTAGTATATTATGTACTATACATACATGTAATTCATTAATTTAAATCTTATTATTAAACAATTGCTATTCGATTTAAAAGATAGATGTTGTAAAAGTTAACTCACTTTTAGGTTTGTTATTTATACAAATGTAAAATTGTCATTTGTGTTGTACAAAATACTTAGAATAATCTATATTTTCCCTTTATTTGCAACACTGTATGTATGATATTGTTTTAAATATTTTCCCTTTATTTGCAACACTGTATGTATGATATTGTTTTAAATATACTATCATATTTCATTGTAATGAAAAATATTCTCCTCAATCAGAAAACCATTCTCGTATCTTTTGAAGACACAAATAAAAATTACAAAATCAAAGATAATTTATTATGTTATCAACAATTCTTTTATGTGAGATGTAAGAGTTTGACACCTAATTAGAATAGTACAGAGGTCTATTCACAATCTGGGCCAGTGTTTCAGCTCGGCACTGCATAATAATCCTTGCATAAATCTCTTTTCACCCCATTGTTACCCCCATGTATAATGTAAGCCTCCATTTCAAATCCTTTATATGAAATACAGCAGAGTAAAAAAGTTGTGTTACTCTTTTGTTTGCCTGTTTAAAATGCTCTTTTAAGGATTTTTTAAATTTTCTTTGGCTGAAATACTGTAAAAGTTTCTTGCTACAAATTTTAATACTAGCACTTTGGAAATTGCCTACATTAGCATTTCGGTAAGCACTTCACATAATAATGCTTGTTATATATCATTCTTCTTTTGTATTTTATAAGTTCAGTTTGAACACAAATTGTCTTAAAAAACCATCCTTTAACATAAATGCATTGTTTCTAGTAATGATGAAAATATTGTAAACATTTTTTTATGTTATTGCCTACAATAATATACATTGTATATTCATATCAACTTTTATAAATGACATAAATTTATATTTTATAATTAACCTTTTGGTACAAAACGCCTTTCTGTAGCTAAGAATGTTTGAAGTGCAGTTGCATCATTAAAGCACTTGCTACTCTTCAAAAGTATGGAGTTTGCAAATGTTATTTTTATGAATTCTAAGGGTTCATTTTAACCTTTGTACCTGCCCTTTATATCTCTGTAATAATATAAGCTTATTTCATGTTTGTTAAATAATCATAAGACTAAAAGAATATTCTACAAATAAATTTTTGTACATATAGTATAGTGTAGTAATGAGAATTTTCTATGTTAATTTAAACTAAGTTTATTTTTCCTTGAACAACAGCAACTTCTTAAAAATGTACAATTAACTGTCCATCCCTTTCAAATGTTTTTTTTTTGCATTTGTGACATAAAACAATACATAGTTAAATTAGATTTAATATGTTGAAACTATAAGTACATACAATTAAAATAATATGGTCCCACAGTGACTTCACCACCACGAATAGTGAAACAGCCCACAGTTGAAGAGCTGCTGTTCCAGGTGGCTCAGCCTGGAGAAGTGGACAAACCGTTCATCATTGAATGTGAAGCAGAAGGAGAACCAGCTCCCAAGTAAGTGTATTTTTTTATTATAAAATAAATCCTCTTTGCCTATTCTTTTTCAATAGATTTAACTGACTCTTTGGTCCAGAAGCGTATCAAATAAAAATTGATTAATCAGTCAATTCAATAACCATGGGGTCCAGCATGTTTATCAACAATTTTCTGATTGGGTAATTCAGAAGTAAAATCCATTGTCTTTGTCTAGATTATCCTAGACATTAAGTCATGACATACCGTTCACAGGTGGAAGGGCCGTGCAGTATAAAATTTGCGCTTCGGTTTCAATTACATCCTAAAACATGTCAACAGCTCATCTTATTTAGATGCTTTGTAGGTGTTTCACCTTTCATCAAGTAAATCTCATGCCTGTCTGTTATTATATATTGTCCTCCTAGATTAAAACAACTTCTTCAGTTTAAACTTTAAACAGTACATTTTTATATCTTCCATAACCGATAGCGAAATTCAAAATAATTAAACAAAATCGTGCACATTATGAATTAGGTATTATATATTTCCAGTTCTATAGAATATGACAGACAAAACAATAGGTACATACAAAATACACAATATGCAATACCGGTTTGAAATACCGTATGAGCTTTTGTCGTGAAGTCGGTCTTTAGGTTACGCTGCGCGGATTTATACCAGAAGTTGTTAGTAGTGAGAAATGAAAAACTTACACTAATATAATACATTTATATAATATTTTTAATAAAGGGTTCTTCCAGAGGAACTTTCAGCTTCGGTACGCTGGATGGGTTGAGATACTCGGGATGGGTGTCAAAATTTACATATAGTTTCATTTTATATATACATATTAATTTCATTTTTCAAATTTGAAAAACTGTTAAAATGTACCTTTAACTGTTTTACTACTTCTAGCTAAGGCAGTCCGATGTTTAATGTCATAAAAATTGACTACCTAGAAAACTAACGTTTCAACGGAAAAACAGTTGGAAAATTACAGACGTTTACTTAATTAAGATAAGTTTTTTCTTGATAATTTTATTTGTTAAAGTAAAGATCAGAATAACACTGGCACTGATTTAAAAAGCCTACGTAACAACCCTTAATCATTATTATTTATTAATCAACCAAGATATTCTCATATCTCCGTACAAGTAATAATAGGAAAATGTTATTAAAGCCTTACTTTATTTTATAGTCAATCCATTTGAAAGCTTTTATAGATTCGTGGGTAGGTTCGAGATGTGACGATAAAATAAATAAGGAAAATTCACCCATTTACGTGTCTGGGGCACATTTTCGTCCCCACACGATTACAGTATTTCCCTACTCCTGTAAAAAAGGCAGGGTCATCGCTCTGAAGAAGTCCATTAGTTGTACAAACACGGGTATCGATTTCTGAAAAATTCGCTCGAATCTCGTCCCGCCGATTCCGGAATAACAAGCCACCTTAATTGGTATGACGCTGACAACACCGTCCGCTTCGTTTTATTGCGAGAAGCTTTTTTTTATTCTAGAATGATTTATGTGTCAATTGTCACGCGTGCCATTTGGCGGGAAAGTTTTAGCACGATGGCAGGAAAAAAATAGATATTTTTATTAAACAGTTTAACTGTAAGGACTATGACATAATGTTACTATGTAATGTCACTGCATACGTATACGAAAATCGTGTTCAAAGTCGTTTATAAAATACCAAAATATCTATTTGGTTGTAATATATTCTCATAGTGGCTCTAGCGAGAGATGTGTGAGATGAAAAAAAGCTAACGAAAGCAAGGACTGTAATTATCTTTAAGAACGATAAATACATTATTTTTTATCAAGCACAAAACACTGTGCTCATGGCTAATTAATCATAATAATAAACTGCATTAATTCAATATAATCGTTTTTAATTCACATAAAGCTCTTATCTATACTAATATTATAAATGCGAAACTAACTCTGTCTGTCTGTCTGTCCGGCTTTAACGCCGAAACTACTGAACTGATTAAAATGAAATTTCGTACACAGATATTTTAGAGCCTGAGAAAGGACATAGGCTTTTAATACCAAAAAAGGGTTAGAGGTTAAAAAGGGGGGATGAAAGTTTGTATGGAAATTCGTGGTTTTTGAAGCTAGAACAATGAAACTATTCTTTGGCTTTTATGGAATAGGAGTGGGAGTGGGAGTGAGTGTAGGAATGAGAGTGGGACTTAGAGTAGGAGTGATGTGATGTGGAGTCGGAGTGTTGCGGCAAAGCAGCGCTTACAACATAGATTGGCTGCCTTAAATGCGCCCTTACATAAATTAATAAACAGCCTAACTAATTACAAATTCTATCCCAAGTCACTATTCCACCCGTACGAAGTCGAGAGTACAGCTGGTATGCTATAAGATGTGAAAGTGTTTTAAAACGCTGATGTTTTTAGGGTGCGGGACTATGAAGGTATATTTAATGCATAAGGTAACGAATATTTAAAGACTGAAAAGGCGAGACTTGGGCTTCTTCGTAATGTATGTTTTTGTTTGTATGAGAGTGCAATGAACTCTGGAGCTTTTGTTTTCAGATACATATTTGATTGTTTCACGAGCTGCAACTTTACGGCAACAGTTTATATTACGTCACGTATTGGGCACAGCGGAAACATATGTTTACTCGTTAAAATAAGCACTTATAACCATCGTATTCTTTTAAAACCTATATGTATGGGACTACGGGCCTATAAAATGTTTCCTAGACAGTACTATGTAGTACGAGTGATTAAAAAAATCATATCATATGTATTTCTTCATCACATAAGTTACAGAAAGACGGGCTACGGACGGATACCCTATACTTTCTTAGTAACTTGTAGTTAACCTTTTTGGAGCATTTCTTGAGATTAGATAGTTTCATCATTTTAAGTACCTTTCAATTTTAATATTGTATCGAAGGGTTTACTTCGAAGGGCGGCTTTTTGGAGGGATGAAGGAGTATTCTAACAAAATAATAGAGATACAAAAGTGCAGACCAATACACGTAATAGAATATCGTTATAATGGAATTCTAATTATAGTCGATTAACATAGTTGTTTTATCCAATCATACATGTTATAGTTAGGTACAATATGTCAGCTAACCTTTTTCAATTGAACTTTATGGTCTGATAAATAAAGACTATGCATTCTGTTGCCTTGGTGCATCTATGTTTCTTGGATAGTCTGTGGAAACCAGATCCATGTAGGACTGGGTCAAGGCGTGGATAGCAACCGTACCAGGCCTCGAGACGACCGGCTGTCCTAGACGTCCTATTTTGTTTTTTCTTTAGAAACTGGAGGACAATTCTGAACTGATATTTAGCTCATTTTCTGCAACTTATTTATACAAAGCTGACATAATTTTGTTTCGTTCATCGACTTTTGTTGAAGCAAAATCTCTTATTTTTCTCAGAGTTCTTCATAACGAGAGACTATTTAATTAAAATAATGTCAAACCCACCAAAAAGAAACAGACATTAGTTGTGGAGATAGACTGTTCATTTATAAGGAACGCGGAATATGGTAATATAATTTTTGACAACAGGGAGTCGCTATCCTGAGGATCATCAATATTGGACTTTAACAAAATCCAGCATCTATCTAAAAGAAATAATTGTTTATCAGACATTATAACTTAGTATTCATTTATTTTAAAACTACACTGCAATATATGTTTCTTTTTGGTACAAAGGAAGCTATGCTGAGATATCGTTATAATTTGTACGTGCTTATACGCAAAAGGTGATTTATCACCCTTAGTCACACCATATTTATCGGTCGCGATAAACGTATGAAATTGCAAAATGCACAAATAAAAAATACATTCTGGCGAAAGTTATTGCGGGATCGTTAGAGCGTAACGATGCTTAGCGATCCGTCGAGGGTCCTTATGACTCGATTGGGGACGGTATATGCTTGTTTGGCTTAGAAAAAAGCATATCAATAAAACTAACTATATATTTGAACAACACATCCTTAAGGAAGAGTAAATGTCATTTAAAGAAGAATCATTCTGTCATATTTATTTTTGGGTATCTCGAACCTTGATAAGTGGTCTAATCAATCCAAAAAGATCAATTCGAACTCGTAGTTCGTGAGATTACCGCGTAAAAATAAATAAAAAAACAAATTCTTTAGCTTTATAATAAAGTGTCGATTTTTAAATGAGAATTTATTAAACATATCTCTAATAAATATATATCTTTTAACTAAATAGGGTTTTGATTTGTATACAATTGCTGAGATTCGATGTAAGAATTTATATATAACACTACTTCAGTAAATAAAAGGGGCGTTAAACTGAATAAAAAATATTTTTCATGCATTATTTTGAATTTTACTAGCATGCGTGAATGTGTATGGCAATAGACAATACATTTCAATGTCACTGGTAAGCGCGGGACAATAAAATTCCGCTTCGCAATTGCGGTCTTCTCTCTATCCGCGCCTTTGTCCTCTTTGTATTTTCTCGCGTGTTCTTATACAAAAAGCCGTAGCCAGTACGGGACGAAACAACCCGCAAACTTTTAATTCACGATCCATTGTTAACGGTTGCTTTGAATTTCCGCTTTTATTTCCGTACCAAAGTTTCCCCGAGTTTAGTTTTAGTGTAGTTTTTTTTTTATCATTTGCATAACACGAAGTTGAATAAGAGCGTTGAGATATTTATAAGTTTGTATTTGTTTACTTGGATCGTGGTTAATACATCTGGGTAAAACTTTTATTGCTATTCAAATATAACTCGACTAGAAATTGCTATACTAATATTTGTGCTGTATTTTAAATTGACAAATATTTATGTATATTCAGTTTAGCATTATCTATAATTGTTACTAAATAAATGGGAAGAATTGACAATTGAATTATAGGAAATCATTGTTTTATGTTTGTTTGTATATAGCTTACAACACTAGTTACGTATTGAAATGTAGCTATATTATTTAACTACGTACTGAAAGTAAACCACAGTTGATTTAGTTATAAAAATTTACTGTACGTTGAAGAAAATAGATCTGCCTGCGGTCTTGTGGTTGCGC